CTTTTTTTTTCTTCTTGAGAAAGTAGGATTTATGGATTTATTGAGAGGACAGAAAACCTCCCACAGTGGGAGGGGACCCAAGGGGGTTGCCCCCAAACCTTTTTCTATGAGAGGAAAAAAGAAAATCCGTGCTTGGTCATCAGATTGAGAAGAATGACCCATGTATGGATCTCGAAAAGCCAATCAGGATAATTTTTGGTCACTCAGAAGTGACCAAGGCTAAATGTTCCTATAAGGGAATTCTGCTTAGAGTTTGGAGGGAAAAAAGTGCTAAATCAAAGGCTTATTTGGAAAGTAAGTGTTTTCTGAATATTTTAAGGAAAGCTACGCTTAGCCAAAGTGCTGCAGTCCTGGTACATATTTCAAATACTCATTTCTGTGGGAATTTGAAATTTATGTACGCTTTCTCAACACACACACAGAATCTCAGGTGAGCCCATGATTGTCCAAGGGGCAGCATCCCACATCGCCTGGAGAGCAAGGACATGTCAAACCTGGCTCTAAATCCCAAAGTCCTCATCTGCCACAGAGGAGATTTCTTGTGAGAACTGGAGGTGGCATGCTCATGGCAAGGGGACGATGCCGGTTCATGACACCCTCAGTCACATAGTGGTAAGGATGCCACTCAGGCAGCTGCAGCATGGGGCTGTCATAGTGATCTTGACCTCTGGGAGTAGTGAGTCAGATCAACCTCAGCTGCATCGGGCGAGGCCGCAAGGCAAGGAAAGGGAGATGCCTAACAGCTGTGCTTTTGGTTGTGAAACTGTTGGACTCTCTCTAGCAATGACATCCCGAAAGCCAGCATATAGGAATGCTACAATTACATATCTTTCTCTCTGCCTTATGTCCCTAGGTCTTCATTGTCATTGTCTGGTTTGGTCTCTTTGTTATTGTTTCTGTGTCTCTGATGATCTCTTTCTCTTGTGTTATTATAACCCACAGAGACAAAAATATTTTTTATGTTTAAGATAGTACACAAAAATAGCATCCTATTTCTGTTCTTAATTTAAAAGGCAGATGAGCGAAATATTGCATAATTCTTTTTTAAACATGCATAAAACTTACAAAATGCATATTAAGTTCTTAAAACTTCTGAGATGATATAACTAGACCTAGCACAGTGCCAGCCAAGCATCGAATACATGATAGTTGCCTTCTCCTTTGCAAGACAATTTGGATGTAGCTAGGATCTCCAGGCTGCCAGGGCGCCAAAGTCAACAATGCACCCACTTTTGAATTCCCTACTTAACTTGCCAGCTAAGCTGTCTTCAGCCTGAGCGGGGACAGCTCCAGTCCCTGGAGGCAGGGGCGATGTATCCGATGAAATCAAGTGAGCAGAGATGGTGGAGGAGTGGGGGGAGGAGGACATGTGAGTCTCCTTCTGGAAAGACAGGCTTTGGCGGGCAGCCGTGGGGCTGGACACACCTAGTGAACTCGGATGAGGGCGTGTCTTGGAAGTCAGGCCAGCGCTCCAGCCCCTTGAACAGAGGAATGACCTGGGAAGTGCTCCACAAGGGAGGATGGGCAGGAGAAAAGCTGATTCAAAGTTGGGGGTGGAGGCAGGAAGGCCAGGGACAGGGTGTGGGAAGGAGAAGAGAAGGGGGATGTCATCCTAGGTTTGCTTTAAACAGACATGAGAGAACTTGGTGGACATACATACAGGACGGGGTTGAGAAGCAAGTGCACAGTGAACAAGGGCTTTGCAGTTTCCACCGTGAGACACTGAAGGAACGGCAGAAGCTTTGTCCAAATGCACAGACTAGGGCCACCAGAGTCCCAGCCACCCCGGTTCTAGCCCCGGCTCTGGTTGACTTGTATGTAACAACGTGATGAGAGCCATCAGAGACACTAAGTCACGTGGAAGCCAGTGCTCCCAACACTTGGTGACTCCCTCACAGTGCCAATTCTGTCCTGTAAAAGAGTATAACAGCTAGGCAAATAAAGCAGGATTTAAGAGAGGAGACAATTCTCTCTACTGGAGTTTGGCGAGACCAACGAGACTTTAAGCAGTGCCATTTTCTTGCTGCTATTCCACTTGAGAAGGGATGCAGGTTGAAATTGGACGATAAGATTTCCTTATAAAAGGTAAGAGGGCCAGTAGTGTGGAGAAAAAGTAGGTGACACTAGCTTGCTCAAAATAAACCTATTTGTCCATGAAAGTGTTTTTACTTAGGTGTCCCAACCAGTGTATTCGCCCTTCCCTGTCTTCCCTGGATGACTCTGCAAGCTTGAACAACAGTGTTGTCTCTTCACATCCTTGCCGGTCAGGAATCCCTCAACCTGACGGAGCAGGGTTGGCCGTGGCCACAGTTGGGAGAGCCCTGGGAAGAAGGCATATGGGCAGGAGATATCAGCCAAGCTGCAGGTGGCTTCTTCCTAGCTCCAACCCAAAGTCAAGCTAAGGAAGTATCTCCTCTCCGTGGCCCTTGTCCTGGTTTGGAAATGGGCAGGTCTGCCTGCTCTGACAGCAGAGAGAATGTCCAGGGCCCCATCCTCAGGTGGCAGCCCCGTTGGTGCTGACCACTGCCCTGAGAAGTGTCCCTGTGTGTGATCTGAGGCCGGGACACTTTACTATCAATAAGCTCCTTGCTTCCAAATTCACTCATCCACACTGCATCCTGGGTGGCCACATGGGCACAGGGTGCATGGGAGGAAAACACTATTACCACATTTCTGCCATGCTTGTGGCTGTCTCTGGGGAGGACATGATCTCAGAGGAACAGGCTTCAAATTTTTAAGATCTACTACAAAACACCTAATAATCCAGGTAAACAACCAAACACACGGAACATATTTAATGCATGTTTACTGATTGTCTATCTGCTTCCAACCAACCAATTGTTGAAGATGCAGTTAGAAGACTCCCTTTCCCCTACTTCCTCCCCTCTCCCCCCAGGCAGCTCCTCTCTGGGGACTGTGGCCAGGTCATGCTTGATCCATCAGGATTTCCAGCATCTGTTAGTGACCCCTGACACACTGTAGGTGCTTAATAAACACATTAGTAGGTTGATTAGACATTTTGCTTTTCTTCTGAATATAAAACTTACAAATCATAACATCTTCTGTTTTTAGAGTTATTTAGGATTGGAAAACCCTCAGACTGCATAGAAACAAAGGGTTTGGTTTGAACACTAACCAAACTGTTAGAAAGAAGTTGACACCCAGGAAAGTGATTTGAATGTTACAGAGGTCTACAATTTTCCAGGTTAGTCTTTAAGGTAAAACAAGATTCCAGCTTTTAAATTTTTTGACTTCTGCACACTGGTCAAACTCCTGTTACTACAAGGAAGGTAACAACAGTGCCTCTCCCACGCTGTGGAAAGGAGCTACTGGGTGATGTCTCAGCAGTGCCAGGCTGGTCCCCTGACTGGCTCCAAGGGGCCAAGGCAGAGCTACACAGACAGAGAGATCACCTCTGCCTGGTGGACACTGATCGTGTGTGCTATTGTGGTGCCGAGTTGAAACTGAGTGTGGCTTTGCTGTGCTCTCACAAATGTAAGCCAGCAAAGTCCGTTTTATTATATCAGAAATTTGCATGAGGGGCAGGCTCAGTGGCTCATGCCTGTAATTCCAGCATTTAAGGAGGCTGAGGCGTGAGGATTGCTTGAGCCCAGGAATCAAGACCAGTCTAGAGAACATAGTGAGACCTCATCTCTACCAAAAAAAAAAAAAAATCCCAAAATTAGCCAGGCATGATGGTGGTCACCTGTAGTCCCAGCTACTTGAGAGGCTGAGGAGAAAGGATTGCCTGAGCCTGGGAGGTTGAGGCTACGGTGAGCCACAGTCATACCACTGTACTCCAGCCTAGTCAACAGAATGAGACCCTGACTCAAAGAAGGAAAGGAAAGAAAAGAAAAGAAAAGAAATATGCATGAGTACCTCTTGCCTTCAGGTTACTAAGAAAGTAACTGAGTGACCACACACACACACACACACACACACACACACACACACACACACACACACATCATAATACTTACTCACTCATGAAATCACCGTTTACTGAGTATTTATTTCTGTCACAAAGACATCTAGGATCCCTTTCCCCCCTGTGGGGTGGGTTTACATATTAATCAAAGTCTAGAACCTTACCCCAAACCTGCTCAACCTGCGGAGGGAGAATGGGGGGAGTGAAGGTGCCAGGCAGCTGCGGAGATGCAGGATCCAGGCTGCCCCCTCCACCCTCTGTGGGTTCCCAGCTTATACGTCCACTTAGTGCACCCACACAGTGAGTCACACAGGACTAGGTCTCTTCTACTCCACGGAAGTTGCTTCAGAGAATTGTTGTCTTTTTGTGTCTCCATTTATTTTAATTTTAATTTTTATAATTTTTAAAAAATAGAGACAAGGTCCCACTATGTTGCCCAGGCTGGTCTTGAACTCCTGGCCTTAAGCAATCCTCTGGCCTTGGACTCTCAAAGTGCTGGGATTACAGGCGTGAGGCATCATGTTCGGCCTGTATCTCTATTTTCTGGCATTGATACCCCAGCTAGAGAGTAGGTCTGCAATAATGTTTGTGGAAATAACTGCAGGGATAAAGATGCTACAATAGCTACTACGACTCATTTGTGCCTACGATGTGCTGGCACTACGCTCATGACCTCATCTATTCCTTAGAGCAGTTACGTTTTAAGGACGACAGCATGTTCCCAGTTACGTGGAAACAGGTTCGGAGAGGTTAAAGAATGTGTCTGTGATCTCACAGTCATAGAAAACAGCAGAGCCAGCACCCGTTGGGGCTTATATGTCCCCAAGCCAGTGTTTTCAGGGCTATGACATGGGGAATTAAAGGAAGAAGCTGGTTTTGTGCTGTTAGGCTGCAGACGGCACCTGGGGGATGCTGGGATGGGCCTTCCCAGAGAGGCATGAGTCAGCTGTGGAGAAGGGGTGAGGGGAAGGAGAGAGGGCTTTCCAGACCAAGGGGATGGGACAGTTTCCATCTGCCTATAATGTCTGTCACCACCTCCCCTGACAGGGACGCCTCCGGGGCAGGTACATACAGGTCAGCACGGACAGAGAGCGGTTCTTGGGCATGTTCTCCTCCCTCTGGGCCACAAGCGAGCAGTTGGGCTCCGCCTGGTAGGCACACAGCGCTTCCCACTCCTTCTCCAGTCGGTTCTTGTTCTTCAGGTGATCCTCCATGTAGGCCTGCAAAGGGAAACACAGGGTCAGGAGCCAGTGGGAGATGGGGGCCTGGTTCACACTAGGTCTAGTAAGGAGAGCCCTGGCCAGGAAACACAAGGGCTTCAAGCATGTGGGAGGTGGGGGGCTGGTTCAAAGCAGATCTAATAAGGAGAGGCCTGGCCAGGAAACACAGGGTGAGGAGTGTGTGTGAGGTAGGGAGCTGGTTCACACCAGGTCTAGCAAGGAGAGTCCTGACCAGGTACAAGACATACAGCAAAGACCTTCACATGTTCTGTTTGTTGCTTCAAAAGTGTGTGCTCTGCCTACTATGGGTGTTGAGTGTGGGCACTAAGAACTCCTACTAGGAAGTCTGCTATTGAGCTAGTGTGGATGGTTAGGGAAGAGACATACACCCACGTGAGACCATGTTTGACCAACCAACCAAAAACTAGATCAGAACCGTGCTCGACCACAGAGTAGGGCAGGGGGTAGCAGCCGTCAGAGAGGTGAACTGGAAAGCCTCTTGTACCACATTTGGAGACAGAACAGCGTTCCCCAGGAGGAAGAGGAACAGGAAGTGATACTGTGTATCTGGCAGAGTAGGAGGGCTGCATCTGGGAACAAGAGGGAAGCGGCTGTCAAGGGGGACGGAGGCAAGAAGGGATACCTGGACACTTGGGCAAGCCGTCTGGATGCAGACAGCAGGAACCATGGAAGGCTCCAGAGCAGGTGTGCCCTGAGGCTTGAAGGCACACAGGAGAACAGCATTCTCCACATTCAAGAAGGAGTAGAGCCAAGTTCAAGCAATATTATATGGGGAGCAAACAAACTGCAGACGGGCTAAAAAATAAGGCCAAGCAAAAAACGATGAGTAAGCCTCAATCTGGAGAAGAGTCTCATTCATTAATTTTTGCGTTAAAAGTCTCTCTAAAAGAACTACTAGTTACTAACAGATATTATGCTGCTAGAAGTCCTTGGAATTATTTACCTGAAAAATAGAAAACACAGAGTTTGGAAACTGTTCTATATATCTCATCAAAATCATGTGAAACAGGTTAATTTGGAAAATTTGTCAGATAGAAATGGACATTGCACCCTGCATGAAATCCTTCAACATGGAGGCAAAGCTTTCAGCAGGGACAGATGGCAAAACAGAGATGTCTTCTGTTTGCCTGACAGCCAGGGACAGGTATGCCACCCTGTTCACACAGAATGCCTGTTATTTAATGAAGAGCTCTCGTTTCCTCAGATATGTACTAACAATGCACACTGCATATAACATTATTTACACTCATGTGAAATATGGACATTGCCATTATACAGGGAGTGTCAAAAATGTATAAATACTTTAAGAAAGGAAAAAACCGTATGAAAATTATAGATGAATACAAGTCACGTTTGACTCCTGCAATTGCAAGGGGTGTTCAAAGTGGTTGCCATCAGCATCCAGTCACTTCCAATTACAGCAAACTAAAAGTCATACATAAATAACATCGTTTAAAATATGTATACATTTTTTGGCACCTCTGATAGATATGTAATATATAAATATTCTAAGGTGTTTAGAAATCAGTTTACCATTGAGATGGCAATAATCCTCATATTTTTTAGTGATGAAATCGAAATGAGTTTTATTTAGAATAATAGGCACAGAATAATTCTCAATTGTAAACATTCTCATATATTTCAACTCCAGTGCAGGGAGCTCAGACCAATCTCTTGGTAGGGTTGTCCCTTGTTCCCATTTCTGTTTGCATAGAAGCCATTTTTCTTAAAATTGGCACACTTTCCTGAAGTTACTGGGTGGGATGCATTTAAGAGACTGGGCTGCTCTAATCTGTGTAAGATGTTAAACAGCTTCTAGCATTAAACAAAGAAAAAAATAACACTAAGGGAAATAAATATTTTGACCTTTGGTTGTTCTGATCTTAATTTTCTTGGTGCCTGTGTGTCAGCAGTGATTACTAGAAGTCGACAAGGAAATAATGGCCTCCTGAACATTCCCTTCCACAAAAACACTGATGTAGCCAGCACAGTCTACTCGTTTCTTATTGATCTATTCAGTCGAGAAATGGCCCTGATTTTAAGGAAAAGCACTTCAAAAGACCAAACCCAGCTGCAATATTGCACCCACAGGAAATAATGGTCTTGTCCTCTAACATTTTGCTTGTGGGTTTTCAAGGTGCCACATGTCACATGTAGACATAGTTTTCAAGTGTGTCCACACAAGAAAATACAAACATGCACGTGCACACAGTCCCTTGGTGCAAAGCGGCCATGCCCTCCATTATCCAGCCAAGATACTGCCACTTTTCCACCCCCACCAAGTGTTTGTGAGTGGGTGTGTCAGGCTGTGTGCGACCCGCATGGTGTCCCTGCATCTGTGTGGACATGGAGGGCAGGGCCTTGATTGTAGGTCTCCCCCACTCGTGGCCCTGCTCCAACCTCTCAGGAACAGCAGACAGACTTTAGTGCCAATGAGGAGAAAATGCACTGGCCAGTGTCATCTCGGTGCGATAAATGGCTTGAGACTTGGGAGCACACCCATGTTAGGAGTACAGACATCTTGGCTGCTCTAAGTCAAAGACAGTGAGTTTGCTCACGCCCTTCACCAGCCCCCATACCCAGGCTGCCTTGGGTTTCTTTGTGTGTGGAAGAAGTACCCCATAGAGATATTTATAGGTACAAAATTAGGCAAAATTCTAATGGTTTAATCTAGAAAATGTTAGCTAACACTGCTTTCTTTTGAGACAATCATTATGAAATTCAAATACATACTTTTGTACCAAAGCTACCCTAATAGGCAAAACATTTCTGCATGATATGAGAGTTAAGTTTTGTGAAAATATTGTCTGAGCCACGTAGCCCAAAATCTGGTGAGTGTGTGTGTGGGGGGGGGGTGTGTGGGGGGGTGGAGGCAGGGGCAGTTCTGGTGAAAATGCAGTCTGTCTCTGTAGTTACTTTTTTTACAGTGGGTTAATGAATGTATGGTCCTACACATAGATATAAAATAGTTCCTGGCAAGATGATTCTGGGTCCTAGCTTTTCTTTGGAAAATATTCTTTTCACAAAATCCATCACGAACAAATGGGCTTCTTTCAATAAAACACGATGGACTCTAAAAGGATGAACCTTGGCAGGTTTAATCCAATCTCAAAAACTGTCTGCAAAAGAGGTATTGGATATTATCTTAATTCCTATAAACTGCAGCTGTTTAAATTTTCACATTTATCTTAACTATGGGAAATGAAATCACACTGCAAGTTCACTTGAATTTCTAAATTTATGGCAAGAAATATAAACAGAGCCTCTAGTAGGCAAGCCTGGGTGGCAGGAGGGAAGGAAGAGGTAGATATTGACGACATGATTAGGTTTTTTTCCCCCGAGAATTAAGTCATCTAAACATGTCCCTGATTATATTAAAGTTCCCATCCTCCCAGCACACAGTGTGCCAGTAGGCTGTGTTCGTACTGTTCTGCTCATCTCAATTTGATCTGTTCTGTATTTTCCTATTACTGTTTTGATAAAACACCATTTATGATATTAAACTGATATAATTTTCCTCAATTACATCTTAGGAGTCTTTCCTGTTTTGTGGCTGGGGAAAAGATGCTTTTCATCTGTGGGGAAGCCAAGCTTTGGGAGTAAAATAACATGTTTTAAACAATAAAAGCATAAACCCAAAAGGTGCCACAATAACTTCATACAGATGCTGCCTCTACTTATGATGGGGCTATGTCCTGACAAACGCATCATAAGCTGAAAATATTTTAAGTTGAAAATGCATTTGTCACACCTAACCTACTGAACATCCTAGCTAGCCTAGCCTGTGTGAAACATGCTCAGAACACTGATGCTAGCCTACAATTGGCAAAATCATCTAACACAAAGCCTATTTATAATAATGTGTTGAGCATCTCATGGAATTTATTGAATACTGTGCTAACAGTGAATAGAAGAATGACTGTATGAGTATTCAAAGTATGGTTTCTACTGAATGTGTATCACTTTCACACCATGGTAAAGTCAAACTATCATAAGTCAGAAACTGTACTATGGGCTTCCTGCTCTTTAAGGATGTAAGAAATGTGAATTAGGATAGGTATAGCATCTCTATTCAGACATGGTCATCTTCTGGAATTATTACGTAAATTAGCATGTAAGTTAAACAGTACTCATGATCTTTACTCACAGTGGGCATTTAGTTGTAGTTGTTTTAAAAAGTGACATTTAAAAACCCTTATTTTATATATGAGTGCATGCGTGAAGAGATACGGTGGTGGGAGGGCTTAGTTTTAAAAGAAACTACACATGTAGAGAAGAACAGAAAATGAAGGTAAGCAGAAGGAAAACAAAAGCTGCTAATAACTCCAGGACCCAGATCAAACTATAAGGCTTTGATAATTTCTATCTTTCTTGGTACATGTGTAGGCTACCTTTCTTTTTATCCTCCAGTGCTGACTACCATTGTTTAAGCTTTAGACATCCTCATTATCATTATCATAGAGTTTACTTTTTCAAGTTGAAAAAATGTTGAGATGAAAAAATGTTATATCTTTTATATAAGGTAACCAAAGCCTAGGGAAGTTATTTGGTCCACAGCTCCCAGTGGGTTAATGTATGGTCCTACACATAGATATAAAATAATGGTAGCACCAAAGCCTGAGCCTGGTCTCTGAAACATGTTGCTGGCTTTATCCTGGTTTGTTACCAAGCTTCTTTCCTGGCCTTCTTGCCAGCACATCACCTTTCCAGTTCCTTCTTTACAGAGCAACCATATTTGTATTTCTGGGCAAAATACGATCTATTACAAAAATCATCAAGAATGCCTAGACAAGTCCTTTGTTCAAATTTCACTTTGCTAATCTGTAACTTACTATCCCAACTAGACTCTGTTTCCCAGTGCATGCCCTGCCACTCCCATCCTCACCATCCTTCTCTGCACTCTGTTCATGCTGAATCTTTTGTGATGAATCTACCCGAACTTCAAGGTCCAGCTCAGACACCACCTCCTCCTTTATGAA